CCCCCCCATCCCCCGGCCAACATCCTCCAGATAAAAAAACAGCCAAACAAAGCAAAAACAAGAACACAAATTATTAACACAGGTGTGTAGGCCTACTTACATCTTAACCCTTTTTTAAAATTTTTTATCCTGCTCAATACTATCAAGTGGCGCTTTTGTGTTTAGTAATATCAACTAACTGTGCTGCATTTTGGATTTTGAAATTAGCTGTTAGTCTTAGAATAAACACATGGATAAATACGTATAAAAATACATTAATAAATAAGTAAATAATGTGTTTCTTCACTCTTATAACGTTTTTTTTTGGCAAGTTACACATCTAAGTGTTGCTATACCCCCAACAGGAGATGGCTACCACAACTGGTTAGTAGCAAAGTTTATGGTTTAGATCATATTAGTCCTACATTCCTCCGCTCTTTCGAGTCACGAGGTGGGCACGCGCTGTCCCGCTCCCTAGTGGAGTCATCTTTACAGTGTCACCGAAAGTTTGCACGAAGTCTCATACTACGGTGGTATTAGTACCTAAACTACTGGGCCATGACGAGTTGGTAGGAGGGAACAGATAGAGGTACAAATTTTGCTTGTATGGGGGTAGTGTTTTTGTGTCTGCATCTGTAAGTATATTTTGTCTTTTCTTAATAATATGTGAGCATTTGCGTTGATGTTAGTCGGACATAATAATATTCCGTTTAGTATACATTTATTTCATGGATTGTTTGACATAATAATATCCTGTTTAGTATACTTTTATTTCATGGATTGTTTGACATAATAATATCCTGTTTAGTATACTTTTATTTTATGGATTGTTTGACATAATAATATCCTGTTTAGTATATTTTTATTTCATGGATTGTTTGACATAATAATATCCTGTTTAGCATACTTTTATTTCATGGATTGTTTGACATAACAATATCCTGTTTAGTATACTTTTATTTCATGGATCGTTTTCAAAAGGATTGCTTATCGAAAATAATACGTAGCATGACTTGTGGGTTGACCTGTTGGACGACTCACCGTCCCGGGGCGAGTGGAGTCATCACAATACAATGAATCCACTTTACCCGGGGGAAGCCCCCCTATACTTCCTAACAGTACAGCCCTCCCCAGTTCAACCCTGCATGTTACCCGTTGAGCACAAATTTAAAAATTAAAATAAAATAA